TATTTCACTTTTTTTTTCTTACACCTTTAGCCTTTACGTTTCTCATCTTCTTGAGTACGCGGTCCAATTCATGAGGCCGACGGCTTCTTTCGAAAAATCTATCTTATTACTGACTCGGCGACCTGCAAAGGGAAAACGGGTTGTGATATTCGTTACCATATTCGCTTCGTTAGAGGTTTAGTTATCTGTCTCTTTACTTATTCCGGTGCTTACACGAGAAAGACTTGCCTCATTTTGCTGAACGCCTTTTGAGTGGCAGGGGCCTATTTACAAGCAAAAACGGGCTAACGAAGTCGCATGCACCGAGACGTCAGTCAGTCCCAGAGTCGACACGGTCCCTGCGTTATTCTTTCTAACGTCCGAAACTGCGGATTCGATCGAGGGCACAATGCTTCCTTTGGGAATCATTTTGTTGGCAGTAACAGGAACCGTATCGGTGAGTGCGTCGGACAACTTTTTGTTTGTGGTTTGTTACGTAGTTCCGTCGTGGTTATGCTGTAAAGATAAAAAGGCGAGAACGAGGCAACGATACGAGGCTCCCGCTACGGAGTATGGCCTACCCTTTTTCACCGAACAAACAAATACAGATATAAGTTACTAAGCAAACAGGCCAATTCGACAGGATCCCCTTCGCCACTTTTCCCCCTCGTGCCTGCCTTACGCCCTCAGCGCTTTAGCCCAAGCTTTACTTAGATTGTGGCTCACGGGACGGACTGCATAGAAGCGTTAGTAGGAAAGTCTCGATGAAGCACAGGGTGTCCCCTAAAATATTTCAGTGTTTTTTTGTTTGTTTTTTAACCGCAAGAATAAAATATCTTTTGCCGAACGCTCATTTTCCTCCCAAATGTAGCACTAGAGGTCACAACCAGATGCCAAAGTTTCAGCCCGAACTGATAGCTTATTCAAAAGTTACAGGTTATTTTCTGAAAATTTCAATGGATAACTGGGACCCATTTTCGCCGTTCTAGGTTTCTGGCGCCACCAGAGCTCTCCATGTATTCGAGAACTCCGTCGGCCGCCATTTTCCCATTGATATCTTCAGAAAATCATTTATCACTTTTGCATAAGATAAGGGTTAGAGCTGAAACTTTGGCATCTGCTTCGGACCTCGAGCGCTACGCTTAAGTAGAGAATTATCGTTCGGCGATGGGTAGTTTAATTTTGCGGTAAAAAAACAAAACAAAAACATGAGACTGTTTTTTGTGTTTGTTGTTGTTTTGAGGGGGGCATTTTGTATGTTTTGTTCGATGACCTTTGATAAAAAGTCCCGAACAGCCACGGATTGACGCCGCAACTTTGTAACTTATACATCACGTTATTTACAGATCGAATATAGTTTGGGAGAAGCTATAGGAAAAATGTCGTTTAGATATATGATTCTACAAAGCTCAGTTACAGTGTCGGATAGCCAAAAACAAAGTGAGCAGATGCTGGTACACTTTTAAAGGAATCTTGAGAGAATTCGTTTAGTATCGTCGATTTGTAATATATTGTCATCTGGGTCCAAGCATTGCCTGTTGTTGTTTGTAACAATGGCCATACCATGACAGAAAAGATGGCCGTTATACGTTCAAATCTTAATATTGTTTCAGATTTTATATATTTCAGGAAGTCGAGCGTAGCGGTCATGGTCAACGCTCATAAGGTACCCTAGTCTAGAACTCTAAATGGTTATCCGGTACAATCAAGAGATAAACTAATGCCGCGAAACTAATTTTAAAAAGAAATTTTTCCTACATGACGGTGCAGACATTTAGAATATAAGAATGAAATTGATAATATAGTGAACATAACATCAATCGCTGATGCCATTTGTACGCATGAGTTGATAGCTCCTCAATAGAAATACATAGAGTTAACCATAATATTCTTATCACAAAGCGCGCAGGAGGCTCGCCTGCAGGCGCTCTTCTAAACCTAACGTTAATATTGTTGCCCTCCAGACTTACGTTTAGTTATTTCCTTATAATTTCATCCCAGCGGCACGATGTGAACATCGGCTCATGGTATTTCAAGCGAGACGTTAACTGACAATGAGAGACAGAACGGAAAATGGGGACCACATGCCCTGTGTGTTTTATCCTCATATTTCGCGCCATTGTACAATGTACTACGTCAACAAACAAAAAAAACAATAAATAAAAGAAGAAAAAATGTACCGACGTTTGAATGTTTGCCAAAATGGCACCATGTCGGCACCGTGCAACCGAATCAAACCGGGACGGCGCGAGCGGGCAAACGGGCCTGCACTCTTCTGCAGACGAAATTACAGGCTAAGTTTGCGTGTTTTTGTCTCACGGTGCCAACAAGACGGACGTGAGCAATAAAAAAAATCAATTTTCTCGTTTTTTTTTTTTGTTTTTTTTTTTTCTTAGTTGAAACAGACGCTGTAGAAAGTGACATTGTGGGACCATTCATCAGCTTTAGTTAACAGAACAGGGAGACGTTTTGCGAGCGGATATCTGGTCCCGATGTTAGGTCGCAGTACCGCAAAGTAGTACTATTGTATATCGGTTCTAGTGAGCTTATCCCTTTGCCTTTTGTAATAGAGAGTGAAATAACCAATGGTCACGTTTGTGACAAATGTATTATTAACAGGAAAATGTTTAATATTTACCTATTTATATCCAATTTTTATGTAAAAATACGAGAGCCCAACTGTAAAAATAAAGGGTAATGCAGATCTGTTTTCGTGCTGTCACTCAGGCTCAAGGTCATAGGATTGTATTAAATGAAAAACGTAAGTATATAATTTTTATCAAAAACTCTTCTATGCTTGAGCAGTGATTAGAGAAACAAAAACATCGCTGTGAACTCCGAACATTCGGACAAAAAATGACCGGCCAGGGTAGTTTAACACTACAACAATATAATAAACCAGGACAACGTAGAATTCCAATATATGACGTATCATATCAAAATTAATATCCGTGTTTCGTGGTGATTACCCTCTTTGCACCCCAGTCGCTTTCCGGGTCTTAAACACCATCTCGCACCTATAGTGTATGATTTTGTGTGCAATATGTCCACTCTCATCAATCATACTTGTCACGATTTCAACAGGGTTATGGTTATAAAGTTCACTTAATTTGAATCAGGTCCCGAAATTCTGAAAGAAAGACAACTGGTATTTGATCCCAAATTTTCCACTAAGTGCTGACAATCCCTTCGATGGCATTAGGTTTCGACACACACATTGAGACGAATTTTACGTGAAACGTGACATCTAGAGACGCCTGACGCTTTACCCACATCTTCACTCCGTCCCTGACAAGAGAGGGAGTAAAAAGAAAGAGATAGAGAGATATCGCAATAAATGGGCAAGGTTGCCGTTGTAGCTCGTGACCTCACAAAGCGCTTTGAGAGTAAGTACAAAATTTCTATTTTAGACGGTATTTTACTAGTAGCAATTGGGTTAGTTCACTCTAGAGTGTCGCGGGCCATTTCTTACACTGTCAGGGTGTGCAATTTTCGGCTTTTAAACCGGACAGAAATAGAAATTATCATTTGCGTAATTTATTCATCCTGTGTGTATGGCTTGAGCGTTTCAAAGGGCGCTGCGTCGATTTTCTGACTTAATTACCTGCGGGGAATTAATCTCTCTCCTTTATATAACTAAGAACAAAAAACCATGTATTGCAACGCGCGCTATTTTTTTATTGAAAGAAAATAAACAAATGGAAGGTCAAAGTGCCCCTCAACTCTCACGCCGTCTTTCGAGTGACGTCTCTGGGGCACCGCCTGGCTTCCCTTTGGGTTTTCTTTTCCGATACCTAGCCGCCGCCTCCGCGATTTTCGACTTTTCAAGGGTTAAGGGCTGTTTATGCTCCGTTTGACGTTGACGAGCGCACGCGCCCTATCGCGTTGGCCGACACTGGCTGCCGAACCGGAGTCTATCCTCCATCGTCACGCGCAACGCGACGTAGCTCAGAGCGGTCGTCGGCGTTCGCGTCGTCGACGGGCGCAAGCGGTCGACGGTGGCCTTCCCAATCGCGCGAGCGTCCCTTCGAGAACCTGGACGTCGGGGCCAGTCGGAGTGTGCAAGTCGCTCATTTCTGCGATCTGGACCTGTCGTTCTTGGCGTGTGCCGTTCTCGTGTTCCTGTGTTGGTGTGCATATTTAACGTTCGCACGTTCAACTGGGCCAGTGTGTGCGTGACTGCTCCGAAGATGCGCTATCCCCGAGAAGCTAATCAGTACGGCTAACGAGCCGGACGCACACGTACTACATTGTGCCAGCAAAAGCTATCAACTCGATGACGTGACAAAGGTAGGGTTAAATATAATTAGGTATGACCTAAAGCGTGTTGCTATATATGATCATGAGCTGCTCGTGCGCACCGCAGTCGTTCCCGATCGAAAAAAACAAAACAAGCAGTGTCGAATGTACGGGAACGACGAACCCAGTGAGACATTTGGGCTATTTAGCCGGTCAGAAGTTTTCAACTAGGGTTCCTCAGCTTCTAAACGATAGTAGCGGTACGTGATGCAAATGAGACTAAATTCAAAGGTCGCGGAGAACGATCGACAGAAATGACGATTTGGAACGCGGCTGCCGGCGAGTGTACCAGCGGAGGGGGACAGGTTTTGTCGACTTCCGCGTATCCCCCAGAGACGCTGTCATTTTAGTTCCCGTAACCGTCACACGCGGCTGCAGATCGGCAAATAATTAGTTTCCTTTTTTTCTCGTGATTACGCGGCGGAATAGCAGTTTTCCAGATGAAGGTGGCGCGTTTTTTCTCACTTGTGCCTAAATAAACAATATAAAAAATACAAACTGCAAATCCTTTCGACGTTAAAATCGTTGCACTATACCGCTTTAAAATGAATGAATCACCTACAGCGGATGAATGGTAAACCTCCATCTTGTGAACCAGCTTGATACTGTGAAGTCGAGCAACCTGGAACTTTTTTTTATCATTTTCACGATGTCTTTAATAATCTGCGGCGCATAAAATGATCTCGTAGCCTGAAACTACAGATAAGGTGTACACCATTAGCATGGGCAAGGTGTTAGTAGCAATTAACCCGCGCAACTTAGCGCTAACATCGGACCTTCAGCCCAAAGTGGCACCGTATATGTACACCATTAATTGGTGGTTTCTAGAAAAGTAGGTCGTGAAAGAAACCAAAGGTAACTTTCTCGAGCTAAGTGTGCCGCGCTTTTTACGTATCTAATCATCGCTCGGGAATTGCTCAACGACCCTGGGAAAGGTATGTCCGGCGGCACCTCACGCCCTCCACTATTTCGCCAAACGCATCCGTTATAATCCTTCATCTATTTATGAGTGTGAAAATTGACTAAGAATGTTATTGTAACACCCTAAAAGTGCTGTTGGAACCCTTAGGACAAACTGGAACGCGCGCTTAGGGGTGTAAAATTATTTAGTGTATAAGAGGCTGCAGCCATGTTGTCTCGCATGGCTGTGTCATTCAAAAGACGACTCCATGGAGTGAGTACAAACCTAAAGCAATTGAATTATCACTTGAAAACGAATACGAAAAGAAGGTCAATGGATAAACGATAGCGGCCCCCAATAGACCCTTTTCGAAATTCAGTCTGGCAACTATGATCACTATCATCATCTCAGTGTGGGGCATCTGTGCCAAACTATATGAAGGCTTTCTGGAGGCTGACGAAAGAAGAAGTTGAAGATACTACGAAGCGGAGGATATGTGAGGCCTGTACGTTTGACACGTTAGCGCAGCACGACGCTCGAATTAACTATAAACCGCATGTAAGCGATTTGGCGAGCGACGAGACAAGCGACGGCGACGCGCTTCGCTGTCGCTCGGCCAGTCGCGCGACGAGGCAAACCGCTTGATAGCAACGGCAATAATAATAATAATAATAATAATTATTATTATTATTATTATAAAGAATATTATAAAGAATAAAGAAAATTATAAAGAATAAAATCTTTAATATTATAAAGATTTATTTTACAATGGTGGACTTGATCCTACAAGCCTCTGTGGCTTTGATCAGTCCTGGAACTGAAATGGCATATTTGCACCACGGAATAAAACTATTATTATTATTATTATTATTATTATTGTAATAATAATAATAATAATAATAATAATAATTGTAATAAAAATAATAATAATAATAATTTATTCAACAGGAAACCAGTAACACAATACAAATACGGGTCTGTCAAAGCCATAGGAGGCTTGTGGGACATGACGCGGCAAGTCGAGCGACGAAACACTGAGCGTTTTATACAAGAAAACCACACAACAAAACAAAAGTCAGAGGATGTAGGAAACACTGGAGCGACAGCAACGTTATACGGCTAAATTATTTAACATGCTTTTTAATGGTTTCTTCGTGCTGGCTTTGATGACGTGCTCTGGAAGGTTGTTGAATATGAAAGGCACATAATATGATCTAACTGTTTTTCCGTAACGCGTAGTACAACGAGGGGTTATAAAACGCGATGTCTGGCGAAGGTTCCTGTGGCCTACGAAAGGAGCCTTGAAATCGTTACTCCAGAAGTGGCGGAGTACCACACTCTGCACGAAAAGGGAAGAGAAGTTTGGCATCCGTAGAGATTCAAACACATTCACACCAGAAAAAAAATCCAGATGATACCCGACGCTCTTCAAAAGGACCCTCAAAATACGGTCAATTTTTGTTTTCCACAACTCCGAACAGTTGCCAAATAACGAGATACCGTACCTTAGTATACTGTAACCAAGGGCATGCACAACTGTTCCTTACAAAAAACGGCGTAAACACTCTGTGACTAAAAAGTAAACAGCTTCTGATACGAAGTTTACCACAAATGTACGACAGATGAGAATTCCAAGACATATCTGAATCAAATGAAATACCCAAATACTTCACCTGATCTCATATTCCAGTGGGAAACAGTCGCAGTCAGAACATCTTGAGTTGTGCAAAGTCACTGGACAATCAAGGATGACATTTTTTAGGGGATTTCTAAAACAGACTAATTTTGTTTCCGATGAGTTGATAGTGATTAAATTCTCATCAAACCAGTCCATAATTCGCAAAGCGTGATCTTGCAGAAGCCGTACAGCATGACAATAATTCAAGTCGCGTGTTACAAGTGTGGTGTCGTCTGCATACTGAAAAATACTACAACTAGTCACTCTGGCTGACATGGTGTTCACGAACAGGTTAAAAAGTAAAGGGGATAATACAGATCCCTGCGGAACACCGGCCTTTATCATCACCCGTGCGCTCTGAAAATTCCCAACAGATACAATTTGGGAACGATTCGAAAAAAAAACTTCCTAGTATGGCAAAGAAAGGTCCACGGGAGCCGATTTTGTAGAGTTTCTGAAGGAGCAATTTATGACTGACTGTATCGAAAGCCTTTGTCACGTCTAAAGAAAGGGCACATGCAAAAAGATTGTTTTCGAACGCGCTGTGAATTATGTCAGAAAATTCCTCAAGAAGCGGCTGGGAGCCCCTACCAACCACAAAGTCATATTGACTTCGGGAGATAATATCAGAGTCATCGATGAAACTAGTCATCACAGTGAAAAGATGTTTTTCTAGTATCTCGGCAATACATGGCAGGATCGAGATGGGACGACAGCATTCATATTTATCTGGCGAACCTCCCTTAAACAGCGGCTTAACAATCGCCATCTTTAGGTCGTCAGGAATAACACCGGAAGCTAGAAATTCATTTATCATGCACAGTAGACCCTGTTTAACAGCGGCGAAGTTTCGACATAGATCACAAACACGGATTGAATCCGCACCAGGGGCTTTGTTCCTCTTTATATTGAATAAGATGGACCGCAACGTGCATAAGTTGAGAGGCGGTAAAAACGCCGAAGCAGATACCGTGGAATCGTCAATTAAACTGTTCGATGCAACCCTTTGGCATCTGGCAGTACCCGAAGACGCCGCAAAGAACGCATTGAAATCGTTCACTACTGACTGCAGGTCTAATCCGAAATGCCTTTGTAGGGAATGAATAGGTCCGTGTGGTGCGCAGCCTCTGAATTCATTAATAAGCCCCCAAGTTTGCCGTGGGTTAGACTTAGTCTCATAGAATTTCCTTTGAAAATACCGCCGTTTAGTAGACCTTATAAGTGCATTGACCCGGTTTCTTGCGCACATAAATTCGTCTCGCAATACTAAGTTATTCGGCGCCCGGCGGAGACGCGTGCTGAAAAGCGCCAATACGGCGATGTTTGTCCGAGGTTTTCAGCGTACACAATTTGTTTGGCTGATCAACCTGATTGCTGACGTGTGTACACGCTCCGTTTGATATAGCGATCTAATATCTAGATTGCGGCGTCTCAATCGAGACGAGAGTGATCAACGGAAGACGAGCTGAGGAGGGCAAGTTTCCATGGATGGTAAGTCGAAGCATGTCTTTTCGTTCGGGCGAAAAAGGCCGAATCTTTCGCCGGATGATAATTTTATTGTCCGCGTTTTCACCCCGACAGCCTTGCGCCTGTTGTACGAGGGCGCGTTTACACTTGCGGATCAGAGAATGGGACAGGTGATGAAGGGAGGCGGCTGATTGGTCCGGCAAGCGGGTGACTTCCACCGTACTGTCAGCTTAGGGAGGTGCCGTGTAACGCGCTTTGGGGCCAGGTGTCGTGTTTGGGTACCGCGGATGTAGCACAGTGAAAAGGCAGGTAGCTTTCGAATGAAAGGATGTATGAAATAGTCCGCTATGTTTTCAAATTTTCGTACCACCAAACAAACTTTTGACTGTGTCTTTTTTTTTTTTTTCTTTTTTGCCAACTAAACGAATGGTTATTAGTGAAATTCGAATCTAAATTCATTTATCCCAGCCCAAGATTTATTTCTTGGCCCTTTTAAGCTCTAATCAATTATTTCCACCCTCGCTTATAGAACATACTATACCAGGGGTGGCCAAGCTGCGGCTCGCGAGCCGCTTGCTAAAGTGCGGCTCGCGGCTCCCTCCCCTCCCCTCCCCCCCCCCCCCCCCCCCCCCCAAAAAAAAAAGAAACAAAAATAGAAAACAGGAATGGAACGCGTTTTAAATGGAAAGACAGGTTGCGGTTTGGTAGTCCTGTGCTACTGCTACGTTTCGTAAAATTGGACTGCATTTGACTCGGATAGATTGAAAGTAGTTCGAGCTTCGCTTATTACTCTAAACAAAAGTTTGCCCCCCCCCCTCCCCCCTCCCCCCCCTCCCCCCTCCCTCCCCCCCCCCCCCCCCCCCCCGCGGCTCTTGGAGGTTTCGTGGTGTTGTTTGCGGCTCTTAGGCCGGGTCAGCCTGGCCACCCCTGTACTATACCCTCGATATGTTAACAGACTTCTCCGGAAAAGGTTCTGAATTTCTACATCACAATCAAGCTCACGCCTTAGTACATACAAATCCGATGTTTGTTTGTTTTTACACGTAAAGGCCAGGCTCAACGTTCACTTTGACTCCCAATCAGAACCATCCACGTGCGGAGGAACCATCCTCACCCGCAGACACATCTTGACCGCTGCACACTGTGTCGTCAGGTATGTGCCCCTTCATAAGGGATTTCCGTTGAAGGCGATGTACAGCAATTTCATGCGATGTCGTAACCTTAGTTTTGTATCGAGACACGAGTCCCGATGAACATGTTTAATTTACCTGCTCTTATATATACGTTCTTGTCCCAAAAAGCTTGCCAGAAAAACAGTAACATCGACCGACAGAGCCTGTTCATATTGTCTAATTGTCGAAACGCCCGAATACAAGTCTGGCCGTCTGTTCATAGCTTTTCTTTGCATCACACCGTGATGTCGTGGTACATGTGACGCCACGACTCGACGCTATGACGTCATGTGACCACGTAGTGACGTCAGGTCTTTCGACGTCACGGCGTCATGTCGTGGTGTCCATTTCCCCAATACATCGAGCGGAAAAATTTCCGCTAAATTTTTCTGCTAATTCTAGCAGAAATATTGACATCATACGGTCTGATAGCAACGTTATTAGATTACCTCAGTTGTAGAACTTCCGCGGAGGGGGTTACCCCCCCCCCCCCCCCCCCCCTCTTTCCTCACTCACTTCAGCCCGCCTACCATCGTTTGAAGCGCCATCTAGATTTTTGTTTCAAAACTGTGTGGTTCTCGGACCAGAGCCTCTGCCATGGAGCATGGAGTACGGTGGAACACCATTTAAACGCTGTGCTTCGTAACGTGTGTACTCCATAGAATCCACTGCAGTTAACATCGCAGTCGTACGGCGCGTCGAAAAACGGGAGGCGAAGCATGGGGGCAGAAGGAAGTATACTGCTCGTGCAAGCAGCGTCTTTGAGCGGTTCCGTAACAGTGCTAATCTAATAAGGTTGCCTGGCAACTGTTGTCGAGTGACCTGACGCCAGAATGTCAAGTCGCGGTGTGACGTGATACCATGACGCCACGTGACGTCACATCGCGTGACGTCCCGGTGTCAAATTAAGGTGTCACTTGAAGCCATGACGCAACGTAATGTCAGATCCCGTGACATCATTTTCCCAATGAATTTAGCGAGAAAATTAATACGCGTTGACTCCCTCCGACGGATTTTTTAATGTATTTTAAACAAATTTAAACAAATCACGTTTAAATAATGCATTCTATGCATTATTTAAAAGGGAAGATAAAAGTCGCTGGTATTTTTTTTTTAAGGTGTTTGCTGTGGTATACTAGACTTGAAGCAATTACACTTTAATTATACGAACATTTAGTCCTTAAATTCTAACCTCTTTTCAACTTTTTTTTTTTTTTCTTTTTTTACAGCGGGGGAAGATTGCACCCGAAGATAGTAGCTACGTACGGCGCCGTCCACTCGGCGTCGCAACAGGCGCTAACTACCAACATCAAATCAGTGGCCTACCATCCGCAGTTCAGCGAGAAGACATTCTTCAACGACATCGCCATCTTGAAGACGGCCGAAGAGATCCAACTGAGCGCGGTGGTCCGACCGATCTGCATCAACCTGGACCCAGCCGACTGGACGGGGAAAGAGGTCACCGTGGCCGGATGGGGCATACAAAAACCAGGTGAGTGCCCTTACCTCACAACGTGCTCCCACTCGAACAAAGGTCACTCGGCAATAGACCTTGGTGCCTCGATGTGTCTGTGCTTGTCTTACAAAAAGCGTCGAATGGTCAGGGATCCACTCACAATGACGTCCTATGTGAGATCGAGAAAAAAAATAGGGTGTGTGATGTTTATAAAGCCTAGAATTTAAGGCTGGTTCACACCGCCCCATTTTCTTACGTGAAGTTACGTTACGAAATATTACGTTGAAGTCGCCGGGACCTCTGTGGTTCATATATTAAGCGAGGCTACCAGCACAAGGAGAAAGCATGACACGCGACATTCGAGACACGAATGTTTCGGTGACTTATGCGTAACGTAACTTAACATAAGGAAATGGGGCAGTGTGAATGAGCCTTTAGTCTGCTTCAACGGCGACTTGTCTCCCTGCTGTAGATGAGAAGTTTAGCCAGTGTTATACAACCGCTAGCCAGGGGGTCTTTAGCGTGCATCACGCAGTAGTGATGCACGACCGCACGCCGGTACGATGCTCATCTAGATCGAAACGAGCAGAGGTGAATTGAACCTGCAGGATCCCTAAGGATCTCTGCAGGGTTCCTGCAGCCCGAGCTTTCGCTCCGCGTGCTCCGAGCTGATGTGCGCTAGCCCGCTCGGCTACCGATCCCCCGTGGGATCGAAACCACCCGCCTGACAACGGTCGAGCGTGGCTCATGGATTGGACACGAGAACTCTGTGAGCTCTCGACTACGGCTTGTAACAATCAATGCCTCGGCGGATACTCGGGTTGTGGTTCGTGTCCAACCACTACGGCTTGTAACAATCAATTCCTCGGCGGATACTCGGGTTGTGGTTCGTGTCCAACCACTGCGATGATGAAAATAGTCGAACTCTAACAACGCCTGGAGCTCAGCACGCATTTTTTACTTTGCCGACCCCAGCGCGTGGCTATGATTAACGTTGGCGGCATATATGATAGGCGCCAGGCCACGTGGCCGCTTCTTCTGGCTCCGAAGGGGATGAACGGTCCTCATATTTATTGAATTTATTTGCCGACCGCCATTGCTTAGAAATTAAAACTAAGGCGAGTTTATTCGGTTATTAGAGAGTTTTAGAATAGCGCACGCTAAGCCTTGCGTACGCAAAGAATAACGTCGTCGCCATTGCGCATGCGCTGAACGCTAACCACGTTTTGCGCTTTGCGTGCACTATTTTAGCGTACGCTATTTTTCGGAAATTGCGTGCGTACGCAAAGCTTGACGCCTAAAAATACGAAAAGAAAATTGAAGTGTAATTCCTTTAAGACTTGGGAAAAAGCAACCAGTAACGTAACTACGTTACCTGTTACTGTTATGAAAAAGTAACGACTACGTTACCACGTTACTGAAAAAAGTAACGCGTTCCTGCTAACGCCGTTACTTGTATCGTGTTACCGCCAAGACTGCAGAACGGGAAAAGCATTACCGCTTGTCATGCCTTGTGGTCATGAGGGGAGGAAAAATATACCTTGACTCGAAGACGCTGTGTGTATTTAATCAATTAACAAATACACTTCAGCAGCTGAGCCAAAGTCTGCTGATTCCGCCGACAGTGCGGAAACCGGCTCGAAGTAATCGTAGGCCTCGAGAGACTTGTACGGCTGCACCGTGTCGGCCGTCAACTGGCTTGGCGGAAAAACTAAATAAAGGACGACGTGAGACGTCGACGTCGGTGGCAGCAACTTTGCGTCGGAACTGCACCAGGTATTGTTCGCGGCGTACGGATCGTCTAAGGCAACGCCGTCCACGCACAGTTTGTCTCGATACTGCTGCCGTTCAGGCTCGGGAAGCGACCTCAAATAGTGGGGCATAACATACGACATACGTTGGCAGAAAGTACGGCGCACAAATAAAGCTAGAAGCGTCTCTACAACGTCAACAACGAGCGCACGCCATAGAACGTAATGGCGAAAACATGGAGAGCCTGGCCGCTTTTGCCCACATAGCTACTGCGCATCCGCGGCCTTCCGGCCGTGTTGGTAAACGCCAATAGCGATTTTCTTGCCGCGAATAAATTAGTGTCACTAAGCTCATGATCCGATATGGCCCTTCGAAAAGGGCGCAAGACACGAGTGTGGACCCTGTTTTATGCAGAGATGAAGCCCTCCGAGAAGCTCCGCTACACGAAGTTGACGGTGCTATCCCAAGCAGAGTGCAAAACGAAGTTGAAGCTCTACAACTTTGACGAAAACACCATGATCTGTGCCTTCCAGGAGGACACGGACGCTTGCAAGGTAACAATAATAACGAATGTCTTTATTGTTCAACAAAAAACAATGTTAGTGGAGACAAAGGGAAGAAAAATTTAAACACCTTTACTAGCCCCAATCTTCTAGTCTGGCTTGCTAGTGAATGCGGCAATCTCTCCTGGAAGTTCAAATATTCGCAAGAAGAATTTTGAAGTCACGTGTCCGGCTACACTTTAAGAAAAAAGCAAAACGAAAAACTTGAACTCAAAGGGGGGGGGGGGGGGGGGGTGCTACCCGGTTAGCACACGCATGTTTTAAAATCAATGTTCGCCAAACAAAAAAAGATTCGCCCAATATTTATCCTGCAATAATTTTTTTCATTTGGAGGGCGAAGGGGACGATGATAATAGCGTTTGTACCCAACTGCACTTCGCTGGACCTCGGCGAAAATTTAGTTTGAGACGTGCCTGTCCTAACCAGGTAGAAAAAAAACTTTTTTTTTTTTCTAGGTTCACTGTTTTTTGTGTTTTTTTAAGGGATACCGCAACGAAATTCTAGCGCCTATTTTATTGTCTAAATGTCAACCACGTTTTGGCCACACCAGAGACACACCGATTTTTTGCTTGAAAAGACACCAAAACATTATTTAAAACTAATAAATACCATATGTCGTTACGTCAAACTCCCCGTAAAAGTAGCGCCGCTACGCAAAAGTACGGCGGCAAGCTGCGCGCGCGCGAGCCCTGTCGAACTCGGCTGAACCGGATTTTCCTTCTCTCCGGTGCCTATTCAAATCCTGAGGGGAGGGAGGAGAAGGCATCTCAAACGGCCAGGTTGTAAAGCGTTGACGCTACCAAGTGGCGAAGCTCACAACGACGCCAGCCTCCCGACAGCCTTGCCAGAAAAGGAAAACATGACGTCACGAGCGCGCTGGAAAAGAGCCATAGGTGGCTCTGGCTGGAAGCGCCGGACCTCCCAAGACGCATCCCGCTCTCCGACGGCCGCTTTTCGAGCGCTCGCGGGAATCGGTCGTTTGGAACGAAAAATATAGCCACCCGTTCAAAATGCAAACGTGCAATTGTAATTAGCAGATTTCATTGACCGTATGCAACTTATTTCTGAACGTGCAAGGTATATTTCAATTTTCATTCTCGAAGGATTAACCTCCTGGTTGGTCCCGAAGGACAAGTCTTATTAAAGCTTGAATCATAAAAAAAATAAGAAAATCAGACCATCGAAGTACGTGATTCGTCAGGTTATCGCAATCAATCACTTTTACGACTCCAGAAAAAACTGACGGCACCTAGCGGGACGTAACAGGTCCTTTCATGATTTCTGCTCGTCTCTCGTAGCTTTTGTAATTACACGTTGTCGACGGTCGGCGCGATGAAACATTGTCCCGGTGACTCTGTCGTTTGAGTGTGTTGCTCAGGTAGCTCTGAACGCAACCTATACAACAGCGTGAACCAGACATTGTGCGTTTATCAACGTTTATCAGCACCCCAGGACAGTAGGCAGTGCTTCCATTGCTTCCCCCAAAGACAAGTCTCTGCAAGCTTGCTTACGCTAACAAATCGCCGCTGGTTTGAAAACGAGTGAATAAAATTCGGTGCAAACCATTTTGAGTCCAATGCATGCCTGCCGACACCAGAGCGTAAAGCGCCGTTCACACTCTTGCGACTGAGTAAGACTGAGAGATACCAGACAGGTTTTTATGCCTTTTGCGACTTCTTAGGACCGGATGCGTGGCAGCAGAGCTGGTCCTAAGAGATCGCAAGAGGCTTAAAAACGGGTCTGATCTCTCTCGGTGGTACTCGGTTGTAAGAGTGTGAACGGCGCTTTATGCGTTGAGCTAGCACATAGCAAGCACGAGCTGTTTTAGACCGCCATATTCGCTCGATACTGGTCACCTGTCTGGCAACCCCTATAGGTTTCTGGATGTGCGAATCGTATACTAGCCCGTTTCATTTTGAGCACTTTCCGCAACGAAATAAAATTGTTATATCAGCATCAATGTGTTTTTTTTTTTTTGTTTTTTTTTTTAGAGCGCAGCTTTTAGGCGCCCGTTTCCGGCTTGATCGGCTTCGCCGTCGCCGTAACCGCGCGGTGCATTATGGGAAATGTCCCATAATGCAAAGCGCGGGACTCGTGACGTCACGAGGGACCCGCGCGGTACATCATGGGACATTTCCTATGATGCAAAGTGCGGGGAGGAGGAGAACGAGGGGAGGATAGGAGGGGGGAAGAGGAGAAGGTAAGAGGGGTGGATGAGGGATGAGGAGGAGGAGAGAAGGTTGAAGGATGAGGAGAGGAGGAGGTGAAGGAGGAGGAGGGAGAGGGGAGGAGGAGTAGAAGGGATGAGGAGGGGTATACTTTCCCCTCAGAACCTTTCCCTCCTTTACCTCCTCAAGAGCTGCGCTCTAATTCGGCGTTACAGAGAGCTATAAACTGCTTTCATTTCTTTTACTAGAATTCTATGAGTGTGTAGCGCACCATCCTGCTCAGAATAAGTGGTTTTCCCCTTAGTAGACAGCCACGCTGCAGCAAAGTGAGATACGCAGAAGGGCGGCGGCGTTTGTACTCTGCTTCACTTCGAGTGCAAGTGAAGCAGACTCCACAAGAGCAAACTCGGCGCTTACGACGTCCGTGCCAAGCATGAGAGCTCGTGCAGTGCAAGCGCCGTTCAGGGACTGGTGTTCGTGCTTTTAACTTCAGCTTCACTCACATATACCATTCGAGTTTCATTCTGTGCCGATTGTACATAAGGTGAAACAAACCGGCACGGGGGCCGCTTCTCCACTAGCAAAATTGCACGGTGAGAAGCGCACTCAATGGAGCTGACTCAGACTTGCACACAAAAACGGATCACGAACAATGCAGAGTCACCAGCACTGCAAGTAGTTCAATATGAGAATGCAATCGAATAAAGCATTTTTCAAATCGATAATCAAAACCGTTTAAAACAATTGCACATATTACGGTATGCTACCTGGGACATGAGCTTAGTTTCAGTATTGAGAAAGTGAAATTAGGTTTCGCCACAATGCTGCTGCAAATTTCTTCCATTTTAGTGAACTGTAGCAATGAAGCAGTTTAAACCCAAAAGTCACATCATCGTTTATTTTTAAGTTTTTTTTTTGTTTTTGTTTTTTTTTACTTAGAAAAGAAGATAGCAGAAATAATGCAACAGGCGTGTTTCCCACCCCCTGCATCAACTTCCTCGCGTGCGGAGTGTAGACGAAACATTCCTCCTCTTTCCATTTCGAAGAAAAAGGAAACAAAGTAGTTATGAAAATCGCTGCTACCCCTTCGCGTGCTGTCTGCACTCGCACTTTAAATCAATGACGATTTGTTTATGCACTTGACTTTTATACAATCGAGTGCTGACCCAAATGAAAAAATCACAAAAAAAAAAAAGAAACACTTTCTTTTTTCAGGGCGATTCGGGCTCCGGATTGACGCACAGCAATGGCCGCCAGGTCACCCAGATTGCGATAGTGTCGCACGGCGTGGGATGTGCCGAGGGACTTCCGGGAGTTTACACTTCCGTACACAAGTTCAAGGAGTGGATACGGTCGACCGTCGAGGGGGACAAGGGCTTCAAAGATTTGTCAAACTAACAGAGCAAAACGTAAAGCTTAGCCGACGTCTGCAGAGAAATAAACAGCGCAGTTGTTTTCCACCAACGTTTCAAAAGGATGTCTTAAAGGGTGAAAAGGGACACAACTAATTTAAGACTGGTTCACATATTTGTGTTTGACTCAGCCAATACCGTGCGTGTTGCAACGGCTTGCGAATGCTTACGCCAGGAGGACACACTGGAACAATTTATTAGGTGACCCTAGAACACTTTAAATCTATTGTGATATCCCGTCATCGCCCACCCCACTTTTCGGGCGAATATCGATTTCCAAAAAAAACACCGAGTGATCGCCCACCCACACAAATACCCCAACGCGGACTCGAACATTCACCCTACCCGAATGACGTGGCCGCGTAGTGATGCGAAACTATCGATAGACTATCGATACTATTGACAGTTTTTTCAAAACTATCGATATTGTCGAGGAACTATCGACAGTCGACTATCGATAGTACTATCGATAGTTTTTCGATACATTTTCGATAGTCGACTACGATAGTACTATCGATAGTTTTTCGATAGTCGACTATCGATAGTACTATCGATAGTTTTTCGATACTCGACTATCGATAGTACTATCGATAGTACTATCAATAGTTTTTCGATAGTGGACAATCGATAGTACTATCGATAGTTTTTCGATAGTCGACTATCGATAGTACTATCAATATTTTTCGATAGTGGACAATCGATAGTACTATCGATAGTTTTTCGATAGTCGACTATCGATAGTTTTTCGATAGTGGACAATCGATAGTACTATCGACACTTTTTCGATAGTCGACTACGATAGTACTATCAATAGTTTTTCGATAGCGGTCAATCGATAGTACTATCAATAGTTTTTCGATAGTCGACTATCGATAGTACTATCGATAGTTTTTCGATAGTGGACAATCGATAGTACTATCGATACTTTTTCGATAGTCGACTACGATAGTACTATCAATAGTTTTTCGATAGTGGACAATCGATAGTACTACCGATAGTTTTTCGATAGTCGACTATCGATAGTACTATCGATAGTTTCTCGATAGCGGACAATCGATAGTACTATCGATACTTTTTCGATAGTCGACTACGATAGTACTATCAATAGTTTTTCGATAGTCGACAATCGATAGTACTATCGATAGTTTTTCGATAGTCGACTATCGATAGTACTATCAATAGTTTTTCGATAGTGGACAATCGATAGTACTATCGATAGTTTTTCGATAGTCGACTATCGATAGTACTATCGATAGCTTTTCGATAGTGGACAATCGATAGTACTATCGATAGTTTTTCGATAGTCGACTACGATAGTACTATCAATAGTTTTTCGATAGCGGACAATCGATAGTACTATCGATAGTTTTTCGCTAGTCGACTATCGATAGTACTATCGATAGTTTTTCGATAGTCGACTATCGATAGTACTATCAATAGTTTTTCGATAGTGGACAATCGATAGTACTATCAATAGTTTTTCGATAGTCGACTATCGATAGTACTATCGATAGTTTTTCGATAGTGGACAATCGATAGTACTATCGATAGTTTTTCGATAGTCGACTATCGATAGTACTATCGATAGTTTTTCGATAGTCGACTATCGATAGTACTATCAATAGTTTTTCGACAGTGGACAATCGATAGTACTATCGATAGTTTTTCGATAGTCGACTATCGATAGTACTATCAATAGTTTTTCGATAGTGGACAATCGATAGTACTATCGATAGTTTTTCGATAGTCGACTATCGATAGTACTATCGATAGCTTTTCGATAGTGGACAATCGATAGTACTATCGAGTTTTTCGATAGTCGACTACGATAGTACTATCAAAAGTTTTTCGATAGTGGACAATCGATAGTACTATCGATAGTTTTTCGATAGTCGACTATCGATAGTACTGTCGATAGTTTTTCGATAGTCGACTATCGATAGTACTATCAATAGTTTTTCGATAGTGGACAATCGATAGTACTATCGATAGTTTTTCGATAGTCGACTATCGAGAGTGCTATCGATAGTTTTTCGATAGTGGACAATCGATAGTACTATCGATAGTTTTTCGATAGTCGACTATCGATAGTACTATCGATAGTTTTTCGATAGTCGACTATCGATAGTACTATCAATAGTTTTTCGATAGTGGACAATCGATAGTACTATCGATAGTTTTTCGATAGTCGACTATCGATAGTACTATCAATAGTTTTTCGATAATGGACAATCAATAGTACTATCGATAGTTTTTCGATAGTCAACTATCGATAGTACTATCGATAGTTTTTCGATAGTCGACTATCGATAGTACTATCAATAGTTTTTCGATAGTGGACAATCGATAGTACTATCGATAGTTTTTCGATAGTCGACTATCGATAGTACTATCGATAGTTTTTCGATAGTGGACAATCGATAGTACTATCGATACTTTTTCGATAGTCGACTACGATAGTACTATCAATAGTTTTTCGATAGTGGACAATCGATAGTACTATCGATAGTTTTTCGATAGTCGACTATCGATAGTACTATCGATAGTTTTTCGATACTGGACAATCGATAGTCGACTATCGATAGTACTATCAATAGTTTTTCGATAGTGGACAATCGATAGTACTATCGATAGTTTTTCGATAGTCGACTATCGATAGTACTATCGATAGTTTTTCGATAGTCGACTATCGATAGTACTATCGATAGTTTTTCGATAGTCGACTATCGATAGTACTATCGATAGTTTTTCGATAGTCGACTATCGATAGTACTATCGATAGTTTTTCGATAGTGGACAATCGATAGTACTATCGATAGTTTTTCGATAGTTGACTATCGATAGTACTATCAATAGTTTTTCGATAGTGGACAATCGATAGTACTATCGATAGTTTTTCGATAGTCGACTATCGATAGTACTATCGATAGTTTTTCGATAGTGGACAATCGATAGTACTATCGATAGTTTTTTGATAGTCGACTATCGATAGTACTATCGATAGTGGACTATCGGTAGTACTATCAATAGTTTTTCGATAGTGGACAATCGATAGTACTATCGATAGTTTTTCTATTGTCGACTATCGATAGTACTATCGATAGTTCTTCGATAGTCGACTATCGATAGTACTATCGATAGTTTTTCGATAGTGGACAATCGATAGTACTATCGATAGTTTTTCGATAGTCGACTATCGATAGTACTATCAATAGATTTTCGATAGTGGACAATCGATAGTACTCTCGATAGTTTTTCGATAGTCGACTATCGATAGTACTATCAATAGTTTTTCGATAGTGGACAATCGATAGTACTATCGATAGTTTTTCGATAGTCGACTATCGACAGTACAATCAATATTTGTTTTACTGTCGATAGTCAGATTTCTGGCGGCTATCAATACTATCGATAGTTCTTTTCCACTATCGATAGTCAGGTTTTTGGTGACGTACTATCGATAGTTTTTCGATAGTCGACTATCGATAGTTTTTCGATAGTGGACAATCGATAGTACTATCGATAGTTTTTCGATAGTCGACTATCGATAGTACTATCGATAGTTTTTCGATACTCGACTATCGATAGTACTATCGATAGTTTTTCGATAGTGGACAATCGTAAGTACTATCGATAATTTTTCGTTAGTCGACTATCGATAGTACTATCAATAGTTTTTCGATAGTGGACAATCGATAGTACTATCGATAGTTTTTCGATAGTCGACTATCGATAGTACTATCGATAGTTTTTCGATAGTGGACAATCGATAGTACTATCGATAGTTTTTCGATAGTCGACTATCGATACTACAATCGATATTTGTTTCACTGTCGATAGTCAGATTTCTGGCGGCTATCAATACTATCGATAGTTCTTTTCCACTATCGATAGTCAGGTTTTTGGTGACGTACTATCGATAGTTTCTCGATAGTCAACTATCGATAGCACTATCGATAGTTTTTCGATAGTGGACAATCGATAGAACTATCGATAGTTTTTCGATAGTCGACTATCGATAGTACTATCGATAGTTTTTCGATACTCGACTATCGATAGTACTATCGATAGTTTTTCGATAGTGGACAATCGATAGTACTATCGATAGTTTTTCGATAGTGGACAATCGATAGTACTATCGATAGTTTTTCGATAGTCGACTATCGATAGTACTATCAATAGTTTTTCGATAGTGGACAATCGATAGTACTATCGATAGTTTTTCGATAGTCGACTATCGATAGTACTATCGATAGTTTTTCGATAGTGGACAATCGATAGTACTATCAATAGTTTTTCGATAGTCGACTATCGATAGTACTATCGATAGTTTTTCGATAGTCGACTATCGATAGTACTATCGATAGTTTTTCGATACTCGACTATCGATAGTACTATCAATAGTTTTTCGATAGTGGACAATCGATAGTACAATCGATAGTTTTTCGATAGTACTATCGATAGTTTTTCGATAGTCGACTATCGACAGTACAATCGATATTTGTTTTACTGTCGATAGTCAGATTTCTGGCGGCTATCAATACTATCGATAGTTCTTTTCCACTATCGATAGTCCGGTTTTTGGTGACGTACTATCGATAGTTTTTCGATAATCGACTATCGATAGTACTATCGATAGTTTTTCGATAGTGGACAATCGATAGTACTATCGATAGTTTTTCAATAGTCGACTATCGATAGTACTATCGATAGTTTTTCGATACTCGACTATCGATAGTACTATCAATAGTTTTTCGATAGTGGAGAATCGATAGTACTATCGATAGTTTTTCGATAGTCGACTATCGATAGTACTATCGATAGTTTTTCGATAGTCGACTATCGATAGTACTATCGATAGTTTTTCGATAGTGGACAATCGATAGTACTATCGATAGTTTTTCGATAGTCGACTATCGATAGTACTATCGATAGTTTTTCGATAGTGGACAACCGATAGCACTATCGATAGTTTTTCGATAGTCG